ACCAGGAGAGGCGCCGATGCTCGCTCTCGGCTGACGTTTCCTCCCACCACCAGTCGGGTCGAGGCGGCAGGGCAGCGTCCCTCCCACCCGGCGCTCCCCAACGCGGGGCGGCACGCGTCCCCACGCGCCAATCAGCAGGCTGCCCGTCCTCTCTCCATCGGCGACACTATCTCGACGCGCCCTTTTCCTCCCTGTCACCGGCTGGCACCCGGCGGGGCCGCTTCCTTCCCTCGGCCCAGCGGCGGCGGCACCATTCCTGTCCTGCGGCGCCGCGGCCGGCGGCGGCGGAGGCGGCGGCGGCGGCGGTTGTCCAACACACCAATCATGTTCGCCGCCGCTGTTCGGGACACATTCCGGCCACCGCTAATTACCCGCCACCAGGGCCGGCCTCGAAGGACGCAGATCCGGATCGAGGTCCAGGGATCGGGGATCGGGGAGGTCAGGTGTCGAGCCGCCGGGGACAGGCGCGGCCAGCGGCGCCGCGGCGCGAGGTCAAGGAAGTGCCCATTACCTCACCGCAGAGAGCTGCCGTGATTTACGAGGAAGCCGGCAGGCCCGTAGCGTCCCACGTCGTAACTACACCTGGCGACCAGGCCGGCGTCTGAACCCGGTGGTTCCGCTGTTCTCGGCGAGCGGCCAATCCGCTACTGTTGTCGCTTGGCCCAGGCCCCGGGGAAAGAAAGCGTGCACACAGCCTTACCGAGCGTGACCAGGGCCGTGGAGGTTTTCTTCCCACGCCGTGCAACGCCAGAGATCATTGGCGATGTATAACGACGCTGGACCGGCCAGCTGGACAGAGGGACGTTACCGCTCGGGGGGGGGGGGGGGGGCGGGCTTCTCCGCGCGCCGCCCGTTCGGCGTCCAGGCCGACTCAGAAGCCTCGCCGGCGCCCCATCCAATTAGAGGCGGCGCCGGCGGCTTACTGGGGCGCGAGGCGGCGGCGCCGACCTCGGCCGGTCAAACCAGGGCGGCGGCGGGGACGCTGGGGCCGCCCGGCGCTCCGAGAGGAGAGCGACCGGCCGCCATCACTTCGAGGAAAGCAGAAGTCGCTAAAAGAGTGCATGGGAAATGTGGATCGAAAGCGGTTCGCCACCATGTTTCGGAGTTGATCCGTGACGAGCCGCCGCCGCGCGTCCGTCCGTTCGTCCGTGGCCTCGGCGTGCGCCGAACACCGCCGCCCGTTCGGGGGCAGCACGCCAGCGGGGGCCACGTCACCTCAGTCACACGCACACATGACACGTGCGCCAGCCGGTGTCCCGGAATACTTGAATACTTCCCCGTGAGCTCGCGGTGACTACGGGAATGCTTCTCCCGGGAGCTCGCAGTGAATACGGGAATGCTTCTCCCGTGAGCTCGCGGTGACTACGGGAATGCTTCTCCCGTGAGCCCGCAGTGAATACGGGAATGCTTCTCCCTTGAGCTTTGTCTTCGCCAGGTGTTAAGAGAAGGCTGATTTAGTCATCAATTACAGAACAGTTCCACGTGGCACGATTAAAACAATCGTCTTTGTTTGACCACTTCAAGGCCAAACTTCCGCCCCGTAAAAAGGCTGTCCGCCACAAAGTGAGCGCGGGGGAGGCGAAGGGAGAGGCTCCGCCACTTGCGGCCGCGGGCACGTGCCGGCGCGGGCCGGGCCGGACACGACGGCTAGCGCCACAGCCCTGTCCGCCGGGGACGGAGGGCACCTCAGCACCACTAACGACCCGTCCGGAGGGGGCGGCCCGCTCGTGACCAGCCGTGATCGTATCGACTCTAACGACGCCAGCCGTCATTAGCGGCGGCCGCCGGCCGGCGCAAAAAACGCGCAGCATTTGCATAGAGAGTGCGCGGCGGCGGCGGGCGGGGCGGGCGGCGCGCACGCCTCCGGAGCGGCGGCGGGTCACGGGTCAGAGATGAGGTGGCGCCCCCGCCGGCCGGCCGCTGGAGCCGGCGGTAAGAGGGGGCGCCGCCGGCCGAGGGCGGCGGCCGTGGGAGGCGCCGCCGCCGGCGCGCCGACACTAACGGTGACGGGGTCACGGATCACGAGACGGGCCGCGGCCGGGGCGGCGCCCGCGATCGTGCCGCCGGCCGCCGCCAGCGGCCTGGCAGTGCCAGGTCACGGCCCGGGCAGGGGCGCGCCCAGCGGCGCCGGCGGAGAGTCGTACTGAGACGGGCGCTGTATGGCCCGCTCATGGCCCGTATAACCCGCCAACAGTCAGGACGCTGACGTCGACAGAAGTAGATCGGCACGCACGTACTCAACCGGTACACTTAATCACGCACGTGCGCATGTCGACAGCACGGCGAGTGCAAATCTCCCAAAATGTGTTCGTTGTCGCATGACCAGAATCCACGTCCCCTGCACCGCTGCCTGGACCCGCCCGTGCGTGTGGGAGAACGCCTGCCTCCAAGCGGCCAGACGCGACGCTCTGCCCGAGCGGCGCCACGGCGGCCCGCGCCCCTCCACTCGCCGCCTGTGACACGGGATTTAACGGGCCGGCCGGCGGCGGACGCGGCGTCCGCTCCAGCGCGCATCGCTGGCGTAAATGGACTGCGGGCCGCAGATACGGCCATCGCGGGTCTGTTGTGACGAGGGCTGGACGGGTCCGCCGGCGGCGTCACCGGGTCCGCCTCCGCCGCCCGACAAGGGGTCGGTCTGCTGACGGACGGCGGCGGCGGTGTCCCAGCGCGGCGGTGCCCCACCGCGCTGGCGCCGTTCATTCAGCGCCTAGACGGACACCGAAGCGACGTCGGGGTCTGTGTTGCCGCGAGCGCCAAGCTTGGAGTCCGGGGCGGACCGGGTGGGGCCGAATCGAGCCAGAAGTGGGACAGTCTCGTGAAACGCCGCGAGACCCAGAATACGTCGGACCGTTTACGCCTTAGTGAGAAGAATATGTCGAAGGACGCTGAATCGATCGCAACCATCATGTCGAACGACATATGAAGAAATGCCGGGGCGATCAGCATGCTCGAACGGCGTCTCCTCAGGGTACATTCGTACCTCGGCCGTCTCGAACAACGTACCTTGCGGACATCAAAAGACCAACTAAATCGTACCCTGACCGCCTGGAACCTGGCACCCCCCCCCCCCCCCCGCCCTTCGACGCCACGTCACTGCCTGCGCCGGGGGGGGGGGGGGGGCGAGGCCGGCGCATCAGCAGTGTTACGGCCCGTAGCGCGGATCTTCCCGTCTGACCGGGCGTCGCGGGGCGTCACCTTACCGGGTGCAGGTGTCAGACAACGGCCATTGTCAGGGCCTCCGACCGGCCATCACGTGCGATCGTGCAGCTGGCGAGCGGCGGGGGCGGGGGCGGCGCGGGTCGTGCGCGATGGCAGGCGTCGTAACCCTGTCGCTGCGGTGTCGTAACACGTGTTCGGCGCGGCGGTGCCGTGTAAGACAGAGCGCGCGGCGTCGTCAAATCGGTGGCGGTCGCCGAGGCGCAGACCCGGTCGGCCCTCGCGACCGTGAGCGGCCGCTGCGGAGAGCTGCCGACCCCCGTCCGTACCCGAAGACAGAACTGGAGGTACGTTCCGCGCAGCTGTGAAGCCGGGTGTGAGCGTGGACCCCAGCCAAACGGACGCTGTGTGACCTGTAGCCTGCTGCTGGGCGCACTGTGAGTGATGGGCCGGCCGCGATGCGGCAGGTGCTGTGTACTGCGCCGGTATGGTGATTGGCTCGGGTGTGTTCGGGTGTCGTGTTCAGCGGCGCCGGTCTCGTCTCTACTCACGGCTTTCCGCCGGGGCCCGAGTGTCCGTTGGACGGAATCGGCGGGCCGCGCGCACCTGGCCGTGCGCGTCATAGCTGACCTGAGGGCACAGGAGTCACCGGGTCACCGGCCGGCGCAACACGTGGGAGGGGTCGCAGGGGTCACATGAGCTCCACACGCGCGCCCCGAGACCTTTCTCGGGACAAGCCTGCAGGGTGCGAGACAACAATACGTCGTTAGCGCGGCCGTCACGGACCCGCGTCGCGGTTCATCGCGAGACACCGCCGCCCTCATGCCGACCCCGTCTGTCGCTGAGAGCCGCCGGGCCCGGACCACGCCGGCCCCGGCGCGGCTCTCACCCTCATACAGCACAGCCTCGGCCACCGAACGATCCGCCTGGATACGAGCGCCACCCAATATTCCCCTCCCCCGCCGCTGCCACCTTATCACACCCGGCCCTTCCGGACATCAATCAGCTGGCGGCCAGGCCGAGCGGGCCGCCATATTGGCACCGCCGCCCGGGGCAATCGTCGGCCGGCGCTAACAAGTCCTGTGCCCCGGGGCGATGGACCGCATCGATCCCGGCTAAGAACTCATTCAGCCCCGCCCAGAAGCGACCGGAATTATTCATCAGGGGCGGCGCTCCGCCGGAAGACGCCGGCGGGAAGCAGCACGTGCCGGCTGCCGCCGCCGGCCGAAAAATTGAATTTGGCGACCGAAATGAAGACGGGCGGCGGCGCTGAGTGGGGCAGCAGCTATCCACTTCTTTATGCTCTCCGGGCGCCCTCCCAGCCGCGACGTTCCGTCGGGTCGGACGGTAGGGCGCAGGCGGCGGTCGCCCCACTCCGTTCTCCAATGAATAATTCCGTCGCACCATATATAAAACAAAATACACCGGCCGGGAGAATGAGAATCGCCCGGCAGGGAGCGTCTGGCGGGCCCCGCCCAGACCGGGGCGGGAATTTGTGGCGCCGCCGCGCAGCTCGGGCCAATCGGGGGCGCCGCGACGAGCACCTCCAGCGGCGCGAGCATCACCCAACGCCCGATCCCCGCGCGAATGGCGCCCTGGGGAACGCGAGAAGCATCACCAAACGCTAAAACTGCCGGCGAGCGGGTCGCCAACAAATAACGCGCTTCGCCACGTGCGTGACGAGCAAGAGCAGTGAGTTTCATCGCAGCCGCCGGAGGCACGCGCCAAAAACGGGCGGCGCTCTCGGGGCGCACGCCCAACCAAACGGTACTCACCGGGGCACGCAGATAGCTGGCGGCCATGGGCGGGAAGCCGGCCGGGGCGCCGGCGGGTAGTTCGGTCGCTGACCCGGGGTCATGTACGGGTAGCCGACGGCCGGCGCGCCCGGCTTCAGGGCGCCGTTGGTGGCGGAGGTGGGCGTCAGGGACTTGCTGACCGGGGTTGTCGGCTTGGTCGATCCGGTAACGTGAAGAGCACTGAGTGTTCACAGGGACAGAGCTGCAAAGGAGGGTCAAAGGGGAACAGCGGGGGAAGGGATAAAGAAAACTGAACATGAGCACCGGGTTATAAATGTTTCTCTGACATCCCAGCTGTTAAATGGTCACCGATTTATTATCTCCACTTGTCCCGTGTTCTCAGAGGCATACACCCTCCCCCCCCCTGCCGAGCTGGCCTGAGCGCGCCCCTGCAGGCCGAGCGCGCCTGCCTGCAGACAGCCACGCCACTGAGTCACACCACATAAACACGGCGACAGACCCGAGCAAACCCGTCAGGCGCACGTGCCAACGCAGCGCCGGGGGCAGCGGCCCGAAACCTAGTCCACAGAGATGGCAGTCGCCCCTTGCCCCCACTCCACACACAGAACACAGTCCGTGAGGTCAGAGAACACGCGGCGGCGGCGGCGGCGGGCGTGCTACGCCGGCTTTGAGGATGCGCGCCCTGCAGTCGACGCGGTGCCGTGCGCGCCGCCAAACGGGGCGCGAGTCGCCGGCCGGCGCAGCACCGGCACACGCGGAACGGGCGGCGGGTCACCTGGCCACCGGTCCAGCGCGCCGGCCCGTCCTTTCGACGAGCCGCCCCGGCAAGCCTTTCACTCTTCGGCGGCGCGGGGATATGAATATTTCAGTGAAATGTGGAACGAGGAAACAGGCCGGCGTCGGGAGGCGGCTGCACGGGCGGGATCAATACCGCCACCACCGGACGGCGGGCCTGACCCCCACCGCACCCCCGGGGCAGACGACGGCCAGCCGATGGCCCCGGGCCGGCTTGTTCGACGAAACGGCTCGGCGGTGGGCGGTTACGGCGTCGGGTGCCGGCAATCGCCGCAGAGTTTGGCGTTTATGTTGTTGGAGCCGCCGGCAGCCCGTCGTTAAGTGGCAGCCCGCCTATCACCGCGGCCATCGCATCGATCACGGATATTGCCGGGATCACCAAACGCCACTGGTGTTATCAGATCGCTCTGGTGTTATCACAGCTCGAGGTGAGGGCGGCTCTAGCGTTACGACAGGTAAAAGCCCACTGCCACGATATGTTGTGCCGTATGTGAGTTAATTTATAATAAATCATTCTGTGAGCTGCCGTTAGTGTTGTGCTATCATGTTTATCATCACTTTATTCACGCATTGCTGTTCTATTAGGACTACTTTTGCGCTACAGTTAGCATTACTGGACTGGCATTACTGCTAATGATTTACATAACTGTTTCATTATTTAATAAACCATACATTTTCCACATTGTTTTAATGCCATTTATTATAATTGCAAAATTGCTGTCGAACTGTTCTCTTCTGATTACGCCACAATCACTCTACATCAATAATGGTTGCCTTACGCTTGACTGACTATGCACCCAGACCCAATACCCCTCGGACGGCCCCCGCGCCGCCGAACATGGCGGCCACAGACCAGCGGCCATTTCGGCACCCACACCGGCCCCACGGCATTCTGGCGCGCAGCGGCGGTAAGGCGCCGCGCCCCGGGCGGCGCCGGTTATCACCGCACGAGCGCCGCGAGGACGGGCTCAGGCCGATTCACCGCTGATAACGGCCACAAGCGCCCGGGCAGGGACTGGGGACGGCAGCAGGGACCAGGGATAGCGGCAGAGACAGGGGACGGCAGCAGGGACCAGGATATCGGCAGGGACTGGGGACAGCAGCAGGACCGTGGACAGCGGCAGGGACCGTGGACAGCACCGGACCGTGAACAGCGCCACAGACCAGGGACAACGGCGGGGACCGTAACGGCGGCGGGGGCAGGGGACGTGGTCAGGGGGCAGGGCGCACCCCCGCGTGCCGGGGGCGTCTGCCGCTTGATCGATGACGCAGGCGACAAAGGAGTGCGGGAGGAGGGCCTGCTGTGTAGCGTTTCAGCACAGGGCCCCGGCGCACAGGGCCCGGCGGCACACGGCAGCCGCCGCTGGCCGCCGCCGTCGCAGGGCGGAGGCACGACACAGCGGCGGAGCAACAGCACAAACAGCAACGGCCGCGGGGAACAGCACAGCAAACAGCGCCACACCAACAACGCCACGAGGAACGCCACACGCCTGGGGGTGTTTCCTTTTCAGCAGGGGGGGGGGGGGGCTCCAGCCAAACTAAACTTCTAGTGAAAGTGGGCGAAATGTCGGGGAAACCCTCAAGTCAAACACATTTTGTGGGAAAGTTTTATATTTTTCACAGTTCAGCCCTCAGCAACATTTGACGAAACTACGGCCCCCTCCCACCACATCACACCACCGCAGAAAGGCCCCAGGACTCGTGGACATCGCACTTGAACGTACAACGGCTTAGACAGAATATAAGGACAGCTGTCTTCTGTCGCCTCCATTAAGGATTCCGCTGAAAAGAGAATCGCTCTCCTATCCGAGCGTCCCGTCGCACCATGACCTCAGGCAGTGACGTGACGTGACGTAACACCGTAACGTGCCGGGGAGCTAATCGTTCCCGCCTGCCGGCTTCTTCCGTGCACCACGCCCGTCCCCCAGCCCCGGTCCCAAGGGGGAGGGGGGCGTCGACACCGACGGCCGCCGGGCGCCGCTGCCGCTGGCCGCCGGTGTAAATACGGGTGTAAATACGGGTGTCCATTAGGAGCCCGTGACGTGTACATGCCGGGCAAATACGCCACCAGGGCGCCGCAGCGGCTACTCAGCCATTAACGTCCTGCGGCGGCGGAGAAAGGAGACGGCAAACAGGTGCACTTTGCAGGGCACGCCGTGACCTGAGTGGACCCCGACTGCGGCGCGGGCCGCCCGCTGGACCCGACGGCGCGTAAGTGGCGCTCGGGTCGGCCGATCAGACAGGCCAGGGGGGTTTTCGATGGGGACGCAGCGGGCGGGAGCCATTGGCACCCGCCCGATCGCGGCCGCAGAGGGTGCTCAGAGTGCATGGGCAATCATCGTCCTTCAGCTGAGCGTGCAACCGGCCGGACGGCGACGAGCCGTCAGGGGAGCGGAACGAGCCGTCAGCAGGAGCGGAACGAGCCGTCAGGGGAGCGGAACGAGCCGTCAGCAGGAGCGGAACAAGCAGTCAGCAGGAGCGGACTGAGCCGTCAGCAGGAGCAGAACGAACCCGGCCGGGCTGGCGCGCCCACCGTCGCCATGCAACACCGCTCCACCGCCACACAACTGAACTGGACCGGCTCTCTCGCCGCGGACAACGGCACACCGCTCCACCGCCACACCACTGAACTGGACCGGCTCTCTCGCCACGGACAACGACACACCGCTCCACCGCCACACCACTGAACTGGACCGGCTCTCTCGCCACGGACAACGACACACCGCTCCACCGCCACACCACTGAACTGGACCGGTTCTCTCGCCACGGACAACGGCACACCGCTCCACCGCCACACCACTGAACTGGACCGGCTCTCGCCGCGGACAACGGCATACCGCTCACACCGTACACAGCACCCCCTCCCCCTCCCCTCGGCCGCACCACTCAACAGTCGACACGCGCCGCTCAACCCGACCCCGTCCCTCCCCCCGCCGTCCGCCACCTGGGGCATGGGGCTCGCTCCACCCCCGCAGCGTTTGGAACAAGACTGCTGGCGAGTTATGTGCAGCTACTTGATAACGTTTTGCTCTTCATGCGCAGAGATGCCACTGATCCTGAACATGACTGCTGTTCGAACTGAACTGATTTGGTGGTCGTAGCTAGTCAAGTAAATGACGTGTTTCCAACAAATTTCTACTGAGGCCGACCAAAGCCGCTGGCCCATTGCAAGCCAGGCTGCTCTGAGCGTCTTGCTCTGCTCTGACCCGTCCGCGCTCCGGTAACCTTACATCCGTTCGCCCGGCATTAAGGTCATCCGCGACATGCCAGCAGCATCACTCCCTCACCCCCCCCCCCCCCCCCCCCCCGGGCAGTCTAGCCCGTCACAGCGCCTCCGCGCGCCCCAGGTGCGTACCGACTCCTTGCGGCTGAGGCTGGGCGTGGAGCGGCTGCTGCTGCTCTGGCTGGGGGGCCGCTCGCCTGGTGGCGGTTTGCGGTCATCGGAGGAGCCGGCGCCGCCGGCCGCCGCCCCGTTGCGCAGGTCGGCTGGCCGCGGCTCGCCGTTGTGGCGCGGTGACGTGTCCTCGGTGCCCGCCACGTCCACAACCAGGTCCTGGTCGCTCTTCTCCGGGTCCGACTCGTGGTGCTGCTGCCGGCGGCACAGGCCAGCGGGTCAGTGGTGATCGTTTGAGAGGAGGTGGCGCATGTCATTAGAGTGCCGGCGAGTACGGATGTTGTACCGGCGTCGGCGGCCTCGCCCCCAGCCGGGAACCGAACCCGGGTCTCCCACGTGGAAGATCGAGGCTCTCCTGCCAGAGCTCGTCATTACACTCCGCGGTACTTCCGCTGCGAACAGACGTGACCGCTTTTTGAGGGGGGGGGGGGGGGGGGGGGGGGGGGGGGGGGGGGGGGGGGGCAGGCCGTTATTGACTCCCGCCGCACGCCAGGTGACACGCGTCACAGCCTCTGGTGGGAACCAGGATCCGAGGCGCCTACTAAAACGGGAGATCTCACCAGCTGAGCACAACTCTGGCCACTAAACCCCGCGAAATCAAAATCGACAGACATGAGGAGGAAGAGGAGGGAGAGGACGGGGAGGGGTGGGGGCAAACCCGCACGCTTCTGAGAACTGGCGGACGCGGAGTCGCAGAACGGTGCAGCACGTTGCAGCGAGAGACCGGATGTTGGCCGCCGGCTAGTGATCAGACCGCGACAAACAAGGCCAAATCGGTCATGGGTCATCTGGGGCGGGACCGATGGCTAAACTCATTCCCACACCACTGCCCACGGCATGTGCCAAGGCACGGACAATCAGAAATCCCCCCAATCGAGCCGTGCCATGACTGGCGGCGACCACCGCGCGAGCCCCCTCCCCCGGATCGCTGGGCACGCTGCCCCGGGCTAGACGACCCGCTGTTGTTATTTGGGCTTAAGGGCACGTCGACAGCCGCGGTCATTCTGCGCCCGAGGCTAGACGACCCAGCCGCGAGGCCGAAGGCCGTTTACACAGGGCGTCGGCGCGTATTTAAGGATCCGCCGCTCCCAGCACCGTCGGCCCTGCATTAGCGGATATCGCTTCGTAAACAGCCGCACAAAAGGAAACCCTATGCCGTCTAAATAATCGCCGCCGAGCATCCTCCCAAGATAACAGCCCCGGGGCGCGCGAAGACGCGGCGGCGTCGAGCGAGCGGCTGGCGGGGCCTCCGCACAAGACGGGGCGTGGGGCGGGACAGCCGGGGCCTCCCGCGGAGACGGAGCGGGGGGGGGGGGGAGGCGGGCGAGACGGCGGCTTCCGGAAGGCGAGAGTTTATGCGGCGCGATAAGCCATCAGCGCTGGGATGACGTCACGGAGGCTGAGACGGTCGCAGGCGCCGCCGGACTGCCCTGGCGGCTGTCTGAGCAGCCAGCGGCGGCGGCGGCGGCAAGCGGATGGTGGAGGCGGGCCGCGCGGGACTCCTCCCCCCCCGGGTCAGCCGTCCGCAGCAGCTTCACTACACGCCGGCGGGGCTCCGGGACCAGCGCTGATGACGCACCACGCTAACAGTTGCGCAGGAGCCGGGCCCGGCGGTGACTCAGGCGCTTGGCACGTGTTGATGCAAGGACAGACGCCACGCACCAAATCATGTTTTATTTCATTACTCAGCATGATTAGTAATAATCTAATCCATCAAACTAAACGAATCAAATCACGTCCGACACGAGACTTGCGATCCACAACGCGCCGGCGCTGTCCTCTGCCACTGGCCACCATTCAGGGGGCACATCGTGCACCAGCTGCACCGGGGCGCCGCCGGCATCGGCGCCGTGGCGAGCAAATGGGACGGCGCTGCACGGGTCGACAGCAGGAACCGCTCAATGAGCGTGCCGACCGGCGACGGTGGCGCTGGCGGCGCCGGCGCCGGCTCGCATCCTGTCGCCGCAGCGCCCTCACACAACGAGAACAAGGGGACGCTTCCGTGCTGACCCGTCTTCATCGGTGACAGCCATGACGTGGCCCTCCCGCGGGGAGGGGGGGGGGGGGAGGGCTGTGGGGGGGCGGGGAACGGGGCAGACAAATGCCGGCTTTGTGTCAACAGACGCCTCGCCCCAGTGTTGACACCTGGTTCGCGGGGAGTACATTGACACCTTTGTGTCAACAGGCCCCCTGCAACTCCCACTATGACGAGCGTCTCGTGACGGCGATAACGTCTATAAACCACACAAATTGTCGGCAGCCGCGGAAGCCAGGAAAAAAGCAGGCAAAAAACGCCAGCAAAAACCGAAGCCAAACGTCCGTGACGAGTTCCCGCACAGCCAGAAGATGGCCGAATGGCAAAGCCAACACGCCCCTACCGTGACTCAAATGAGCCAGACAGAGACCATCGCGGCTCGTCGCTGATGCCACAAACAGGAGTGATGGGCGCGGAGGCGACGAGGTGGGATAGGGGTCAGGAGAGCAGGAGTGATGGGTGTGTAGAGGCGACGAGATGGGGTAGGGGTCAGGGAGAGCAGGAGTGATGGGTGTAGAGGCGACCGAGGTGAAGGTGGGGTAGGGGGGCGGGGGGAGGGGGAGGCGGCAGCGGTTGACCCAGTACCTCGCGTTTGATAGTCTCCTTCCGTCGCTTGACCTCAGCATCACGCTCGTCGGGCGTCCTTGACCTGGGTCGGACCGGCTTCTCTCGCTCTCGCACATCGGGGCGACATGGAGCGCCTCTGTAACACACGGGGTAGAGGTCAGAGGTCAGACGGGTCACAGAGGTCAGAGCAGAGGTCACGATGGTAAGAACATAGGTCAGATGTGAGACCGACAATCAGATATGAGAACAAGGCCAGACGTGAGAACATATGTCAGATGTGAGAACGAAAGGTCAGACGTGAGAATGAAGGGACATATGTGAGAACATAGGTCATGGCACAAGATTTGGGCTGGACATGTGAGAGGTCACGGCGGTCAGCAGCAGATCACGCGTGTCAAACGGAGAATCCTAGCCGGCTGGCAGGTCAGAGGGCCGCAGGCCTCGGTGGTGACACCAGAGCACACACGGCAAAGGAAACAAGACGAAGAGGGCGCGGCACTGACACAGCTGAGGCTGCTTGAGTGGCAGGAATGTCTGTCAATCCTCTCTCTGCGGCGGACGTCAACAGTGTCACCGCTCGTCACCGCCGCTATCACTGGCGCCGATTGCGGCGCGGAAACAGCGCCCTGTTCCTCGACCATCCACCCGGCACTTTCCCTCTCGGCCCCGGCGCCCGGCATAACGGCCAAGCCGCGACTCCCCACCGTTGCGGAGGAACAGGCTCCACAGCGGCACGTGCATATCGACACCTCCCATCGTAATGCACGGTAAACACGGAGAATATGCAGCGCAACACGGGACGTTAATAGCAGCTTAGAACAAATGGACCGCAATCAAGGCACCCATTTGAATGTACGTGTTATGATAATGCGGACGTCTCTCAGGATAATCCGCCGGGAGAATCGGCCCCGGTGTTGGGCCATCGCTCTGGCGCGAGGCGGGATTCCGCCGGGGCCGGGCAGCGGACCGAGACTGTGGTGCAGACGGTGGTCTGGCGGCCGAGCCGGCGGCCGGCCGCATTAGCCCACACGGAATCAGCATGCATTCCTGACAGCCTTACAGGCATTAGGCGTCAGGTGCACAGGCAAAATCACCACGCCGTTTACTTTGCCGCGGCGGTGTTTGAATTTCAAGAAGCCGAGTGGCTGATACCGGGAAAAGCCGGGCGATCAGCTTGACTTTAAGCACGCTCACCAGTGCACCACTCATCTGGAGAAGTTAGTTAAGGCTAAGGAAGTCTGCGCGCACCGCGAACAGGAATTTGGGAAATTTGGGAACATGAACCTGTTATTATAACATGGTGACAGTGCATGGATGGAGATGAGCCAACTTTCAGTGAACGCCGCATGTCGAAAGAGTTTGCCCGCCTGTGGTAGGAATGTGAGCAACGCCCATCATGTCCACGGGACCAGCAAGCAGCTGGTCGATCAGACGAACCAGTCACACCCCTTTCACCACTGGTTGACCAGCGATGACAAACCACCGCGCAGTCTGAACAAACATGGCGCGCCCGGCGGCGCAGCGTCTGTCGCTCCCCGCGTCCTGGCATCTCTCGACCAGCCCTCCTCCTCATAACGACTGCATCTTCGCGTGCAGACCACCCGCCGCCCGCCCCGCCCACCCGCCCCCCCCCCCCCCCCCTCCCCTCCGGCTGGGTCGCCCCGGCCGGCCCTGCCGCTTTGACAACACAGGGCCGTGTCAGCGCTGCCACTGAGCACCGATTAGATAGGCGGGGACCGGCCGGCCGGCCGCACACCCCCTCCCTCCAGAGGGTAGGGGGGGGGGGGCGCCGCTGCCTGCAGATGGCGCCGGACATGAGCGGCTGAGCGACGCCGTCACGTCATGTGACGTGATGTCACTGACCAACGCCAGAGGGCGCCGCCGTCTGCCGGCGGCGTGGTGTCACGCTGCATCCGCGTGACACGTCGTCACGTCGTCTGCACGTGATGTGATCACGCGACATCCCCTATGCACGTGATGTGATGCGGCATCCTCTGAACGTTATATGACGCCGAGACCTCTACAGGTGGTGTGATACCGACTCCCTCTGCACGTGGCGCCGACGCGATGACACCGTCTGCACGTGAACCGACACCGTCTCATGTGGTGTGACGTGGCACAGTACACACATGCGGTGTGACGTGACACGCCACGGTCTGCGGCGTGGGTGGCGTCCCAGCCAGATGTGACTGAGTGACGGCGGGCCCTTCATCATCAGATCAACAGTGTGGCGGCGGCTCCGGCACGCCGCAGCCGAGCCATGAGGAGGGCAACGGTCCACTGTTGCGTTCCGGAACATTCCACACGAGTTCCAGGCTCTGGATGCTACGCGGTTCCCGCGGAGTCTCGCTGGTGCTCAGTGTCCGGGCGCTCCCAGAGTTCCTCAGCGAGCGGGTGCGGGGTGCGAGTATCACTCTGCTGTTCCCAGAGTTCCTCAGCGAGCGGGTGCGGGGTGCGAGTATCACTCTGCTGTTCCCAGAGCTCCTCAGGGAGCGGGTGCGAGTATCACTCTGCCGTTCCCAGGCGGGTGCAGGGTGCGAGTATCACTCTGCCGTTCCCAGAGTTCCTCAGCGAGCGGGTGCGGGGTGCGAGTATCACTCTGCTGTTCCCAGAGTTCCTCAGCGAGCGGGTGCGGGGTGCGAGTATCACTCTGCTGTTCCCAGAGCTCCTCAGGGAGCGGGTGCGAGTATCACTCTGCCGTTCCCAGGCGGGTGCAGGGTGCGAGTATCACTCTGCCGTTCCCAGGCAGGTGCAGGGTGCGAGTATCACTCTGCCGTTCCCAGGCGGGTGCAGGGTGCGAGTATCACTCTGCTGTTCCCAGGCGGGTGCAGGGTGCGAGTATCACTCTGCCGTTCCCAGAGCTCCTCAGGGAGCGGGTGCGAGTATCACTCTGCTGTTCCCAGAGTTCCTCAGGGAGCGGGCGCGAGTATCACTCTGCCGTTCCCAGGCGGGTGCAGGGTGCGAGTATCACTCTGCCGTTCCCAGGCGGGTGCAGGGTGCGAGTATCACTCTGCCGTTCCCAGAGTTCCTCAGCGAGCGGGTGCGGGGTGCGAGTATCACTCTGCTGTTCCCAGAGTTCCTCAGCGAGCGGGTGCAGGGTGCGAGTATCACTGCCATTCCCGGAGTTTCTCAGCGAGCGGGTGTGGGGTGCGAGTATAACTCTGCCAGCACCTCGACTTTCGCAGAAGCGGATCAAGTCTCGCGCCCTGAAATAAAGCCACTAACTCGCAACAAATCGCATACCAGCTCGTAACCGAACCTTTCCAGTTCTCGGCCGTCACGGGCCCAATCAAAACTTCTGTGGCGACGGGTCCGACTGCACCCCGACCAGAGCAGACCGCGTGGCCGCCGCCGCCGGCCCGGTGGCGGCGGCCGCAGCCGGGCGGGCCTCGAGCCTCCGCGGCGGCCCATTACCGGCGCCGCGGCCGGCGCCAGGCGAGCGTGACGCCACCGGGGACGAGGCCACTAATTGGTGGCCGCGGTCAGTCACGCCGCGCCGCCGATGGGAAACCACCGGCGGCGGTGGCGCGGCGGGCCGGGGCAGCGCCGCAGCGGAGCGGGCGGAGATACAGACACAGCGGGCGCCGGCTGGGGATGCGGGAGCCGGCTGCGGCCGCGCCCACCGGCTGATGGCGGTGCATCAAGAGGTGCGACTGTCGGAACAGAGTGGGGGAGGGAGGTCGCGACCATCCAGACAACATCGGAGCGCTGCTCCGAGGCCCGCACAGGCCAGCCGAAGCCGGCCGAGGGGGCGGGGGCGGGCGTGCCGCGCCGCCCTGTCGAGCGATAGCAGCGGCACCAGGGGCCCCCGCCCGGCCGCGCACGCCGCCACCGCCGCCGGCTAACCTGTCGCTGCGGTTCTCGCGGTGCCCGCCCCGCGAACAGACGGGGAGCGATGGCAGGGAGACACCCGAGCCACCGAGACGCGCCCCGTACAGCAGGGGCGGGAAGGGTCGTGCCGGGCGGGCCGCGCGCGCCCGTGAATCGATCGCACCCGCACGGGTCTTCTTTGTGCGGCGGCCGCGGGGGTCCGGCTCGCACAGGTGGCCCTACCCCCCCCCCCCCCTCCCCGCGGTCGGCACCTTCCCCCTCCCGCCGGCCGGGCGGCAGCCGGCGCCTCCCCCCCCTACCGCGAGCGCAGCGGGAAAAAGCGGAAACAGTGCCGCTGCCGGCCGCCATCTGAGCAAACACGCGTCTGTCGTCTGTCGCGCGGCGAGCGGCCGCCGCCGGCGCGGCGCGACCCCGGCCGTTAGCGCCGTCACGTCAACCGCGTGAGGGCGTGAGAACGGCGGCGGCGTGACGGGCGGCGGCCGGGCGTGACGCCACCGGCGAGCGGAAGCCGGAGACGGGCCGCGTCCAGAGGGAGGTCCACCGGCCGACACCGACGACTCCCGCCAGATGGACTCGCCGAGAGGGGAGACGGGCCGCGTCCAGATGGAGGTCCGCCGGTCGGCCCGACGACTCCCGCCAGACAGCCTCGTCGAGAGGGAGACGGGCCGCGTCCAGAGGAAGGTCTGCCGACCGACACCGACGACTCCCGCCAGATGGACTCGATGAGACGGGGAGACGGGCCGTCCAGAGGGAGGTCCGCCGGCCGACACCGACGACCCCCGCCAGATGGACTCGATGAGACGGGAGACGGGCCGCGTCCAGAGGGAGGTCCGCCGGCCGACACCAACGACTCCCGCCAGATGGACTCGATGGGACGGGAGACGCGATCGCGGCCGACAGAGACGGGAGACGAAGACGAACGGCCGGTCGGTTCGGCGCCGGCGCCTCCCAACGATGAACGGCCGTCATTTTGCGCGCGAAGGCGGAGGGTTGAACCACGAGGCGATGGTCGTTGGACCCAGATCACGTGACGTGGACGCAGTGGAGGGGGGGGGGGGTCAGCGCCTCGTCACGTGACACGAACGACAGCGTCCTATCACCTTAGATCTGACAAAGCTGACGTTAATAGGCTACAGCGGCAGGCCCAGGTTTGACAGCACAAAAAGCCAAGACATCTATCTGCGTTTTTAGGACGAGATCTGAATGTCCATTCTTCCGTTTCATCACTGAGCACGCAGGGCGAGCAGGCCGGTAGCATATCAAAACAGCCTCCACCCAAAAG